TCTATCTATCTATCTATCTATCTATCTATCTATCTATCTATCTATCTATCTATCTATCTATCATCTATCTTATCTATCAATAAATAAATAAATAAATAATCTAACCTATCTATCTATCTCTATCATCTATTTATCCATCCATCCATCCATTCATGCAAAGTTGAAAGAAAAGCAACCAGATTGTTTCATGAATATATAGAATAATTGTGCTGAAACTGGATTGTGATGGACTATGACTGATGGATTTTCAACATGTTAGCTGCAATTTTGGAAGACGCCAATTTTACAAGGCTGGTTTATGAATGCACCATGAAAATACCTGAAATTCTTGTTTCTTATAGGCCAGATCTCCTCTGAACTTTTTTATGTTGATCCTTTCAAGATCGTCCTGGCAGTCTACCTGTTCACAAAACCACTGTCAAGAGGAAGAGGAGGCATTACTACACTTTGTGGCACTACTACAAAGGAACAGCAGTATCATAAAGTATAAAAGTTGCACCAAATTTTAGATAGTCCCTCTTAAACACACAGGGATGCTTTATTATTAGTTTCTACAATTTCCTCCAATCAATAACAGCCCCCTCCCCAAAGAGTTTGATTGGAACCTTCCTGAATTCAAGGGATGTATCAGAATGACCATACAAGAACTTCCAACTTGGCAAAGCAACCACAGAGTTCTTCCCTTCTATCCCACTTCTTCCTTCCACCATCAAAAAAGAGAAAGACTTTGAGTGGAATTTAACTTCTAGTGAGGCCATTGAAAAGACTGTCAGAGGTTAGAGCCTGGAGAGGAGACCACCAAGAGACCACAGGTTTGACTAATCGAAAGCCAATTTGATGTAGTGGCTATGAGTAGCTGGATTAGAAATCACGATGCGGTGAGATCTAGGCCTCCCCGAGGATCAAAAGCTGGTTGGGTGATTATGGGCAGTCACTATCTTTCATCCCAGTCCACCCCACAAAGTTGTTATAGGAGGAAAAACAGGAGACAGGACTGTTAGGAGTGTTTACAGATACACACCCACTATAAAAATGGCAGGATAATAATATAATAATACCAATGCAACATCCAAGACTTAATAATTTTCAATAAGAAAGAAAAAAATGTTTGGCTAGTGGATACTGCGATTCCTAGAGGCAGCAGAAGCTACTTTGGGGCTGCCCAAAGGCTGTGAATCTCACCAAAGATTAACCAATACTAATACTAATAATACTAACAATAACAATAATAGAAAAGACACCCTGAAAAACCCTGCAGGAACTCTCCCTTTGAGATGGCTGGGATTGAGAGCATCCCTGTCCTGTCCTGGTGGTCTCCTTTCCAGGCACTGACCTCCGAACAGCCTGCTTTGATCTCAATATCATGATCAATTACAGCATTGGATCCCAGCTTGTTCAGATTTGTAAGGATCGGGACGATCATCTAAGTGGATGATGTCCCCCGAAACACTAAATTAAACCCAGCCACATCTGTCCTCCGTTTCTGCCGGGTAGCAGAAGCTCCAGAGCATGTGCAGAGTGCAATGTCCTTCTTCCAACACGTTGGTCTGGAGGCACGAAGGTCAGTGAACCTGCCACCACCACCACCCCTTCACCTCGGGCTCGCAGCACCGGGCGCTGTAAGGAGAAGCAAGGGGGCCGCCAGCCCTGGACGCCCCGCCGCCCTCCTCATCTTCGAAGACCGACTCCTCGAAGGCAAAAGGGAGAAGCGCCATCCCCGGCGACGGTGAGCGACAAGCTCCGGAGGCTTCGCTGCTAGAGCGGTTTCCTCGCGAATCATAGATGACGCCCACAATCACGGCTAGATCGTCCCCAGTCAAACGATGCTGCCCTGGACTTAGAAATACCACTCACCCGCTGCTTCGAGTTTTCGGGTTCGCTTTAGAAGTTCTTTCTTAGAAGAGAGAGCTATTCACAAGATCACTTTGGGAAGCCTGTTTAGGGTTAGGGTCCCACATGGCTGAGCCAGTTACAAATTCATACAATACAATATAATAGCAGAGTTGGAAAGGACCTTGGAGGTCTTCTAGTCCAACCCCCTGCCTAGGCAGGAAATCCTATACAGTTCCAAACAAATGGCTATCCAAAATCTTCTTAAAGACTTCCAGTGTTGGGGCAATTCACAACTTCTGGAGGCAAGTTGTTCCACTGATTAATTGTTCTAACTGTCAGGAAATTTCTCCTCATTTCTAAGTTGCTTCTCTCCTTGATTAGTTTCCATCCATTGCTTCTTGTTCTACCCTCAGTTGCCTTGGATAATAATTTGACTCCCTCTTCTTTGTGGCAACCCCTGAGATTTTG